TTGTCTTTCTCGATTAGCTAGTCAATGATTTTTGTCTTTGTTGTTTTCTTAGCTTCCACGGACCCACGTGTTTTCCAAACCAACCATAACTCTCATTATTTTCTCTCATACATTGCCTTTCCATAGTCAATAGAGGCTATTAATTTTTGTCGGTGCGTGACTTCCTTCGTAAATAAATATGCTTCTCGTTAATCAACATAATTTCAAATGTGACTAAAACCGTTCAATTTCTTTTAACACAAATGTAACTTATTTTTCATGTCACAGGTACTGTTATATTTATTTGAATAGAAAAACTAATGGAATAGTTGCCTTCAAACCATTTTAAAAATTAAGGATTAAAAAAGAAACGACTCCAACAAACACCATAAATGTCAGCGTTATCCAATGTCTCCCGATGAAACGAGAGATATAGAATCTGCTTCGTCCATTCAATGAAAACGGGCGGCATCGTCGTATGCTTGACATTTGTTGCCCTGGTTTATATCCCGGTAGTTCAAAACTAGAATTGGCACAATATCGCGAAGTGGCCGCCTTTGCTCAATTTGGGTCAGACCTTGATGCTGCCCAAGCGAAGATCGGCACTCGAAGGCTTGAGGAGCAACCTGCAAAAGGGAAAGCCCCCCGGCTGGGAGGAAGTGAGTTGTGGCTTATAAATAGGAAGATGAGGAGATAACGAGCGAAGGCTTTACCTGTCCCCGACGTGGACGCGGGCTTCTATAAGAGAATGAGAAGCTCTCAATACAAGAAAACGCGAACCGCGCGGAGCCTACCCGAGTTCGTGAAGTGGTTGGATTTTGCGAGCTATTCCAACCACGGTTGGATGTGATTCCAAGAGCCGAATGAGAATGGGTTGGTCCAACCAAGAAAGGCATGAGAGTCTTTGGGCATTGCATGGGTCGAGTTAAGTAAAGATTGGTCATCCTGCCTTCGCCCTTTTGTTAGCTACTCTTCGGATTGGGAAAGAGCGGGCACCGATCCTCTCTTTTAACCCTCGAAAGAGCGATTGCCGGGAATAGCAGGACAAAG